GGACATTATTTCATTGTATGGATGTACCAGTTATTTTTAATAGACAACTCTTTAGATCAATTTCAGGTTCACAGCAAAATTGAACAGGAAGTACAGACTTCCCCTACACACATAGCCTTCTCTGCTACTAATATCCTACCAGAGTGGTACATTTGTTACAACTGATGAACCTACATGGACATATCATAATCACTCAAGGTCCATAGTTTACATTATGGTTTACTCTTGATGCTGTATATTCTACAGGTTTTTACAAATGTGTAATAACATGTATCCGCCGTTATGGTATCACACAGAACAGTTTTACTGCCCTAAAAATTCTCAATGCTCTGCCAATGCATCCTTCCCTCCCCCTAACCCCTGGCAACCCCTGTCTCCTCACTTTCACCCTTTCCATAATGTCATAAGTTGGAATCATATAGTCTTTTCAGACTGGTTTCTTTCACTTAGTTGTGTGCCTTTCAAGTGCCTGTGTCTTTTCATGGCTTGATAGGTCATTTCTTTTTAGTGCTAAATAATATTCCAATGTCTTGATGTACCAGTTCTCTTCAATTTCTAGATCGTTTATCATGCATAGGGGCTGAATTTTGTTGAATACATTTTGTGCATCTATAGATATGACCTCATGCTTTTTCTGATTCAGTCTGTTAATAGGATGAATTACACTGACTTATGAATGTTGAATCAGCCTTGTATTCTGGCTTGCAGATATTATCTCGATTTCTCAGTGTTCTGGACAGAAGGAAAGGGCAGGAGGACACTGTGTCGTAAACTCTGGAGAGCAGGATAACTCTGCTGCTTGTACAAGTCTGTGACTTAGAACTCTGAGATCACACTCCCTGTTTAACAAGGAATGAGCTTCTGTTTGCAGTGAAGGCACCAAGCAGCTATACTTAAGCTTGCCTCATATATTCATGGCTCTATAAATGGCTGTTCTCCCCAGAGCCACTGAATATAACTGTCAATTAGGACCAGTTGCCCTCTGGTACTACGGAAATCAGTTTTTGTCATTCAAGTTTTAAAAGCTCTCTGGACACCTGGGGAAGTTGTATAGCTCAGTGGTTGAAAGTGCAAGACTGAGTTCTGGCTTCCAGTTCTTCTAGGTATATACCTAGAAGTGGGATTGCTGGATCACATGGTAATTCTGTGTTTAATTTTTTGAGGAACTGCTGTACTGTTTTCCACAGTGACTGATGACCTACAGTTTTAAGTTCAGACTTTCTAATATAGCAGAAAGAAAAAGAAAACAACCAGAAGTAGAATGGACCTTCCCTTGTGGAGCCAGATACACATACTCCCGTTAGAGACTGAAAACAGGATCGTCCCTCTCATTGATGAGAGTATTATTTTTATATAATTTAAATTTTGTTTTAAGTAGCAATTAGCAGAAATCTTGAAAGGTATAGTCTTCATGCTCTGCCATCCATTAAGTGGCCCTTGAGTGCTGGATCTTTGAGAAATGCTGGGTAAACACTGAACAAATGTGCATCCAACTCATTTGCCACCCCCTCCAGGAACATTCCCAACCCCCTGACCCCCAGGAGGTTCTTTCTGTCCCCTCAGCTCCAAAGGTGCCCCTGGGCTTCAATGCTTACCACACTTATCCTCTTCACACTCCCGTGCTCCTCCAGCCTAGACTGTGAGCCCTAGAGGAGAGACTTGTCGGTCCTCGTATCCATCTAGGCCTGGACAGTTCTAGGATTTTGTCTAGGCTGTGGTCCTGCCAGGGGCTGGGAACAAAAGGTCGGGTTCAGGACTTCAGATCAGCCTGTACAGGAACAGTGGGTGCGCAACTCCCATCAGCCCACTTCTGAGAGGCTCCCAGAACGCCAGCCCCAGATGCTTTATTCCCATTGGCTTGCTATTCCCACCTTCTCCTGCCCAGGCGCTGTGCATGCAGCAGGCCCAAGGAGCAGATATTGGTCTGTTATCATTTGACTGTTGACACTGCCTCTCAGTGGGGTCCACATATCTGGGGCTGACTTCAACATGTGCTACCGTGCATTGCGTGGAGCATGAAATATTTTTAGAACGCATGACTCAGACTACTCCCTGACTCAGACTGGCCTGTCACAACAGGTAACTAAGGGATTTCTTATTTCACAGCTAATTGCCCCCACAATTAAGTATTTCTAATTGCAATAATGTTCAATGTTAAAAACTCAGACATACAACTATAGAGAAGGTGAAAAGCAACTGAGTTTCACTACCAACATAAGCACCATTAACATTTAATGTAACATTAATGTATATGTGTATAGACACTTACAAAAATGGCACATAGTGTGCATGTTTATAACTAAGTTTTTACTTAGCTCTACACCACAGACATCTGTTTCATTATATTCAAATGGCTCGATGATTTCCGCCTCTGTGCATCTATGTTTACCCAAACTCTTATTTGAAGGCCTGGTTTGTTTTCAGTTTTTCAGTAATATAAATCATGCTGAGATAAACCTCTGGCTCCTAGATTATTTATATGGACTGATTTTAATATGCAATTTGAATTTTACCACAAGGGGGAAGCAGGCTACTGTGAGAAGACAATCTAAGATTAAAAAAAAAAAAACTAAGAAAGTTCTTTGGCATACATAAGCTCATGCCAAACTTGTGAGGTGGGGAGCACTGTTGTCCCCATTTGATGGATAAGGAAACTGGGAATGGGGAGACTAAGTGACATGTACAGAGACACCCACCAGGGAGGGCCAAGGTGGAGCTGAATCTGTCTTGAGACTCCAGGCAGCTGGCTCTCTTCTCTTCACAGCACTTCCGGGTTGACAGCAGTGCAGCATTCTTTTTACATTCCATTCCGTTCCAGGCACTGTGCTGGGGATCCTATGCGACATGCAGAAGTGACCCCTGAGGGTTCATTATCCCTGTGTGAGGTGTGAGGACAAACATAAGTAACTGAATGACTAAGTAAATGCCCACTAGATCAGAGAGCGCCCAGGAAGGCAGGAAAGTCCCTTTGACACTGAGACTGGGCATGGCTTTAGAAGAGAAGCGTGAATGATGCGAATAAGCACTAAGGTCTATTTAGCATTCACTGTAGGAGGCACTGTACTCAGTGCTTTATACGCATAATCTCATTAAAAGGTCCCCATAGACCTGGAAGGTGTACTATCCTTTTACAGGGAAGAAAATTGATGGTCAGAAAAGTTAAGAAACTGCTATTTGTGACAGAACACTGGAACCCACATCCTTAATGTCTCTTCGGCAGGACCTAGAGCCCCCACGGGCAGAGCTAGCAGAGAGACGTCTAGGAGAGGAAACACAGAAACAAAGTTTTGGAGGCAAGAAATACAGGCACATTGGGGAATGCAAAGGAGTCGGTGTGCCTGGAGTGTGAAAGAGGAGGGATCTGACGAGATAAAAACTAGAGGGAGAAAACTGTGCCAGACTGGAGAAGTCTGTGAGGAGTAAGCCAATGAGAGCCTACTGTGCTTTGTATTCAGGGAGGAAGCCAACCAAAGAAAGTGACATCACCAGTGCTTTATGACGATTAATTGGGTGTGTTGCATGAGGGAACAAAGAGACTATTAGGGGATTGTTCAAATAATCCTGGTAAAAGATAACCAGAGAAAAAAATGAGAGCTGCAAACATTATTGAGATGAACACCACAAGATCTGACATCTCATTAGACGCTGGGGAGAGAGGACAGAATGATGATTATGGTTTCCATGTTTGGGCAACTGGGAGAATTTGAGTGTGTACACCCAGGAGAGGGGCTGCAGGGAGGGGAGAGACAAGGTCACTTTTCTTATACGAGACTGAGGAACCTGAGAGACCGCTGGGTAGAGATGTTCTGAAGGAAGCTGGTGATTTAGAGGTGGTACCCGAGAATCAGAAGAAATGACTGGGAGCTGGCCAGGGAGAATCTCTACTTAAGATTCAACAGAAGATGTTCATACCCTGATAACCTGTAATTCCATCACCAGGTTTCTGTTGTAGAAAAATAAATTCACATGTGCACAAGAAAGTGTGTAAAGGATGTTCACAGAAGCATTGTTTGTAGCAGTGCAAGTCAGGCTGAGAGGAGGAGTGAGTAAATAAACCATAAAACATCCACATTGTGCAGTGGTTACAAATTAAGTAGATTTAAAAAAGCTAACATGGACAGATCTCCAACATATATAGTGGGTGAGAAAAGCATGTTGTAGCACAATGATAATGTGCAACACTACTTACGAAAAAAAGAAGGAAAAAAGCCAAACAAAAAAATGCCATCACATATATTTTACATGATGTGGGTGTGGGTGTGGGTGTGTGTGTGCACAGAGAAAATTCTGGGAGGATAAACATACTGTTAATTATGCTGGAGAAGAGCTGTGACAAATATGAAGAGCAGAAGGGATGAAATGGGATTTTAGCCTTAGATGCCAAGTTTTAATTTTGTAAGAAGAATGTAATCATAATTACTTATGTGGATAAAAATTTCCAAACTGTTAAAAAAAAAAAGTATAGAGATTCAATGGGAATAAGAGAGGATGGAAGAGACAGGGACATATTCCAAGGCTCCGGGTAAAGCAGTATCATTGGGAACCCTGGGAGAAGTTTCTGGAAGTGCAAAGCGGAGGGGGGATCACAACACTCCCCAGCCCTGCAGAGGCAGCCCGCAGGATGAGCCTTGTGAGCTCAGCTAGTTTTCAACACCTTTCAATTATAGCCACAAGCCTCTGTGTCCTTGAAAGGTCACCATGTCCCACCAGTAGCCTTGGAATGAGGCAGTGTTTGTTCTGTTCTTTTTCTGAGTTGTAAATATCCTGTGACTTTTCATCCAACTCTTGTTTGCACATGCCCTCCCTTTCCCAGAAATTCCAGCGTTCTTGGTGTTTTCATTCCAGTCCTTCAAGCTGCCCGTGAAATCCACTTCCTCTCGTTCCAGTCCCAGCCAATTCCTGCCTCATCTCTTGTCTCCCATTCAAAAACATTCCCTCTTCAGGTCCCTTGTAAGAACATTTACGGAATTTCTCAAGACACAGCCGGCGTAGGTGTCGCTAACACCGAGCCCATAGAGGGGCCAGGCACGGTGCTAAACTTCATAGAAAGTATCTCATTAAAGCCTTCCAACAACCTAGTAGGCCAATACGATTATAACCCTCATTTCAGGCTCGGCGTGTGGTGGTAAGGAGCTGGTGGGTGAGTGTGTGGGGGTCTCACTATGCGAGTTTGTCTTGAGTGAATGAATGGGGGGCAGGGAGACTGGGGGGTGTAAGGGACTGGATGAAGAAACAACTTCCAGGTGCTGAGGTGGGAGTTCCAATTTGCCAAGTGCATTTATAGCCATGATTTCATTCGGTGTCACCACAGTGATCTAATGATGGGGGTCATTAAGGAAAATAGTGAGATGAGTCAAGCTTTAATTCCCTTAAAGTGGCGACCCTTGGGTCAAGGGCGCCCAGGGCCTATTAACCCATCCTGCGGCCTTGAGCAAGTCTGCAGGGGGTGGACGCAGACAGAATGCATGCTGGCTGTGGCTTCTCTTGGCCCAGCTCTTAAGGATTGCCAAATTCCTAGCAGCCACTCGTCCCAGGCTGGGAACTCTTGGCCAGACACCCCCTGTTCTCCTAGCCTGCCCTCCCAGGAGATAAACTAAGTGGCAGAGGACCCAGTTTCCTGGGGTTAATAAACAGGCTGTTTATAGCCAGAAGCAGTCATGGGGCAGGAACACACAGGCTGGGAGGTCACGCTCCTTCTGAATGTTGAGGTTTCTCATAAACATTCCCCCAAGGAGCCTTCTGGGACACAGGCACAACTCTGGGCCGGGCCCCCGCCCCTCGTGTCCTCCTCTTTTCTCCCCACTCTCCTCTTTCCTTTCTCCTGTCGCTCCTTTCTTTTCTTCTATAATGGAAAGAGGAGACATTTTCACAGTAGACACACTTGATAACTTCGGGCAGGTAATCCATGCCTCTGAGTCCCAGCTCCCTCCCTTGTAATACAGGGTAATGACAGGGCCCTCCCTGCAGGGTGTATAGGAAGGTGCATATTTAAAACGTTGTTGTCTTTCCCTGTACCCGCTCCACTCCATCCCTTGTCCCTAATCCTGGCCCTGCCCTTTTCCGTTTCTGTTTTTCTGCTCCAGTCCTGCCCCTACCTCCAGCCCGGGCACTTCCACCCCCTCTGACTGTGCTTCTGCTGCCTGAAAGGGTGGGACGGGCAGCCAGGCTTAGCTCTGAGGAGGGCTGACCACTGCGGGGCCCGCCCAGCCAGCCCAGCCCTGGCACTAACCCATAAGGCCACACCCTCGTCTCTCTGCTTTTAGTAAAACAAAAAAATTCTCACAGGATTTGGGGGTGGAGGGAGGAAATAGAAAGGGAGAGGCCAAGATATTTTACCCTTTGGCTCATTTTTGCCCTCAGTATGACTCTTCTGGTGGCTTAACGGCTGGAGATCATTGTGTACATTGCTGTGTGACTTTGGGCATGTCCCCTTCACTCTCTGGACTCAGTACAGTGTGGGATAGACGTGGAGAGTGCGGGCCCTGGAGCCAGGTTGTCTGAGATGGAACTCCATCTCCACCACTTACTAGCTTGGGTTACTAACCATTCTATACCCTAGTTTCCTCCATTTTAATATGGAATTTATATGTATTTTACAGGGCTGTTATGAGGATTAAATAAATTTGTCTGTTAAAACACTTAGAGCAGAGCCTAGCCCATACAAGGCACTCGGTTCATCTTAGCTATTATATGTCAATGGAGAGGCAGAGCAGGGGTCTGTGTGCACGTGGGAGAGCTGGACATCCTCTCGGGGTACCCCAGAGTCCTGAAACCCCACATTCCTCCTCTTTGCTGACCTCTGGTCAGAGGTCGGAATCTTGTACACAAAGTACTTGGCTGTCCCAGAGAGACCGCAGGAAACTAGTCAAAAGGCTTTCCAAGTCAGATGGAACCCTTAGAGGTTAACTGGTCCAATTTCTCCCGGTGCAGAAAGGGCAGGAAGGACCAGAGAGACCGCAAGGACTTGTCTGAGATCACAGAGCTGGGAGGGG